GCGTTCCGTTTCACGCATTGAGCGCATAGATCTATAGTTCACGTGACATATATTATAGATTTCCAGGCGATCTATGCGCTCAATGCGTGAAACGGAACGCGTATGGGTTTTATGGGTTTGTATATGTGTCTGTATTTCTGTATGTGAATCTTGAATCAAATATCGCGTCATGTTGCCTTGCAGGAAAGAAGTACATCAAATATTTCCAGGCGATCTATGCGCTCAATGCGTGAAACGGAACGCGCTCTATGACTATGGGTTTGTATATGTGTCTGTATTTCTGTATGTGAATCTTGAATCAAATATCGCGTCATGTTGCCTTGCAGGAAAGAACGTGAGAAAGTACATCAAATTTCGCGATGAATGAAAGTAGAGTAATGACAATTATATTACGTAGAATGTTTAGCAAGAAATACTTCAAACCTTTTGCTGGTGTTCGTTCGAGAATGCAAATAATAAAACAGAATGAACCAGATACCGATATTGAAAATTTCGATAGTGAAGATTTAAGTGAATTTGAGGCAGATTTCATGAATATCGGTGAAAGCCATAAAATGCACGAAAGGTATATATTATGTGTAAGAAAATTATATATATTGCACTCGAGATTTACCATGCTACAATATATTTTTTTTTATATAGAACTATATCATGTATATTTGCATTTATATTTAAACTTGACTTACTCCAACCTTTTATTTGAAGTTTGTTAAAAAAATATAACTATTCAATATTAACCTTGTGGTGGAAATAATTTTACAATTTTTTACGCGAAAATTATGCAAAGAATTGCAACTTTTTATGATGTAACTACAATTTTTTAGTCAAACTACATGATTTGGGCCATGTTTGTAAGTTTATAGTTTTTTATTGACCTAATTTACCTGATATACTTTAATACATACTAAGTACTACATTGGTCAATCATAGTCATTCTTTTAAAGAATGAAATAACTGTGATTGGACAGTATAGTATTTAATACGTATTAAAGTATATTGGTATAAACTAGGCCATAAATTTACATAGAATGTTAAGATTTTTCTACAATATTATGTTGTGAATAGTTGTGATTTTTACGATCTACAATTTATTACATCATAAAAATGTTGTTAAAAGTTCTTAAAAAGTTATAGAAACTTGTAAAAATTTGTAAATATTTATTACAATACACTAAAGCTTACTAAAACTTAATACTTACAATTGAATTTCTACAATTTTCATAACTCTTTAAAAAGTTGTGATCTGTTGTTGAAAATTTTAATTTTTTATAGAAATAAGGAAATTGTAAAATTATTTTTATATCAGAGAATTCAATATGTTTTTCTACATGTTAGAGATTATAAGAACAGTTTGTTATATATATGTGATAGGATACATACTATATATGAATATATGACAAAGTATAAATATAATAAAATAAAGTTTTTCTTTAGGGAAATGCGAAGAAACAAAGAACATCTTAAACAACAGATTACCAATCGGAAGTATTTTAAAGAAAAAGAGCCACGTTTTCTTACATTTGCAGAAAGACAACTGATTCGTAAATTATACGAATCCAATCCTGAAGAATGGACAATAGAGAGGCTTAGTGAGAGTTTCCCTGTTTTGCCAGAGACAATACAAAAAATTCTGCATGCTAATTGGTCGCCGAAATCAGTGGAGAGAGTCATGCAATATGATGATGTTGTAGTTGAAAATTGGAAGAAGTTTCGTGCTGGAAAACTTCCAGTAAGCGCCAGACTCAGTGAACACCTAATGAAGTTTAAAAATAGAAAAATTATTATGACAGACAGGGAATCATTGGCCAAACAGTTCGTCCTACCTGAGCCAAAATTTAAGGAACCAAAGAGTCAATTGTTTTCTAATATTATACAATCTTATCTAGATGAAAAACAAGATGATCAAAAATTATTATTGCAAGAGAATAATCTACACAAAGTAGAAGATGCGTTTGCTCACTCTAATAAAAATCAGAATTTATTGATTGCAGACAATAAGACTGAGAGTAATTTCAAAGTTGTTAAAAATTCACAGAAATTTACAAATGAGGAGCAGTATCTTATATTAAACTCGCATACAGATTCAGAAAAATATGACATATTGCCATTAAATAAAAAAAAGAATAACAAGACGCTATTTACTTTTGATGAATTTGTAAAAACGAAGCTGGAGTGTATACAAAAGGAGTCTCCAAAAGAAGGTATCACACTACTAAACCTGTACAAGAAACAGATGGAAGCCAGTCAAGAGATGCAAACTGCATCCGATAAAGTAATAATTAGCATGGAAGAGGATACATCAAAAATTGTACAGATATCTAACAAAAGCGTTTCTACAGTTTCTGAAAATAAAGATGGCGATTGTAATATTATCATGGCAGATGATAATTTGATAGATACAAATATTAAAGTGTGGAATAAAAAGATAGATACAGAATGTGACTACGCTAAGCCAATAAAGATATCAAAGAATCTCTACAAACTTGGCATGACATATCGAATCAGCGATTGTTATTATGATGACGATGGGGAGTTTTTGTATCGGATCCCGGGTATACAAACTTGATTGTTGCAATCGTTTGAGAATGGACTTATTAATCTATATACATAATTAGTCGATATTGTATATATAATGTATGATAAAAAATATTTAATAAAAGGAGACTGTAAGTTCTCTAATGTCAATTTATTAAATATCTTTTTTTATATTATACATAAACAAATATATAATTATTCTTTTTACATGTCTATATATACATTTTATTCTGGTAGAAATAGTTTTACAATTTACATATATTTTTACGAAAAATTATACAAATTCATAGTAAGTTGTAATAAGTTACAGTGAGTTGTAAAAAATATTTACGGATTTCTATAAGTTTCTACAATCTCTTACGAACATTTTTATAAGTGATTGTAATTACAACTTTCTACGTAAATTTATGAAAAAATACAAATATAGTTCAAATCGCGTAGTTTGACGTAAAAATAACGTAGAAATAATCTAAAAAGTTGTAGTTACATCTTAAAAAATTAGTTTTTGCATAATTTGCGTGTGAAAAATAACAGGATTATATCCACTAGGATTTTTATATTTTGCGAAAACATATCTTCACATTAGCCTTGTTTAGAAATTCACTGCTAGTACAGTGAGGAAATATTGTGGGAATCCTACCGACAGGAATTTTTGGGCATGTGTCTTTTTCTTCTTCTTTTTTGAATGGAAAAATTTTGTTCAGATGTGGAATTGAATTTGAATTTACTGTGTGATAGACTGAACATCTTGCACTTTGCCATTACCTCAGTATATACACCTACATGAAGCTAGCCGGCAGAAATTATTAAATATGATTATTTTTAACTTTTTTGAATGTATTTCGTTTGTAAATCGTTTGTGAATGATTGTGAATCTGTTTTTAACGTTTGTGACAAATTAGGTTTTTTGTAATTAACAATTTTAGCTTAGTCATGATGTCAGCCGATACTTTTTAGTAATAAACAGATTTTATAATAACTGATAACTGTAAGTCATGATGTCAGCCGATACTTTTTAGTAATAAATAGATTTTATGATAACTGATAACTGTAATCGACAGGAAATCGTTTGTGATTTACAAATATACCAATGTTACGTTTGTGAATTGATAAATTTTTTAATTACGTGCAAAATAAGTTTATTTTATAATTGTAGTGCGCATGCGCAAAGTATGCTCAGACTTTGAGACGCGTGACGATTTCCGCTACGCTAAGTAATATTACATTTGTCGTACAACAAACTTTTTAAGCGCATTAATTAGCTAATTTCTAGAGACTCAAGAAATTTTCTATTTTGCAGCCAATCAGTATGCTTAAAAAGTAACATGTACTTTGTAAGTTGTAAAGCGAGGTCCACCCAGCCTACCGGCGGGGTGGGTGCGGGAGGGGGGCCGAAGGCCCCCTTTGCACTCCCCCGTGTGTGTGTGTGTGTGTGCGCGCGCGCGTGCTTCCTTTCCATGCATGTACTTTAGTATATTCCAAACTTTTTTTGTTAATAACTTTTTAATAAGCAACGAGTGACGATTAAATTAAAAAAAAAAAGTTACTCAGAATTATGTCCTTGACAACATATATCAAGGTTATTGGGGCTGGGTCCCCTTTTCGCTATATTTACCCTCATTGGATATCGTGCGGCGCGTCATCGCGCTGGCTGCAAGAGCCATTACACGACGAAGGCATGCGCAGGCGCAGGGTCAATGCACATGGTTTTTTTTTACTTTTTGGATAAATTATGGACTACCAAACGTTGTAAATAAAGGATTTGTGACTACCTAACGATTCTGCATCGAATAAGCCTTGATTTAATCGATTAGACTAAAAATTAAAAATGTCCGGCTAACTTTACACCAATATTTTAATTATTTAATTAAAAAAAAACGATTGACCACCAAACGTTTTAATTAGGCTACCAATCATCACCAAACGACCACCAAACGATTAGATAATTTTAATTATTAAAAAGTTAAAGTGGTCCGGCTAACTTTACGGAGCCGGCAGCGCACATGAAGGAAGAGTAAGGAGAGTTATCTCGATAGTTTTTTTTTTTATTCAGCATAAAAGTATAAATTGGTGGACGTGACCAGAGGGCCATCTCGTGCCACCGCCGTAGAGTTAGCAGAGAAATTAAATATTTTTATTTGGGAAAGTCACATTTTTGTAATTTAAACCGGATTCACACCTTGGCAGAAAAGCAGAAAAGCAGAGGCCAATCAGAACTCGCGCTGAAAAAACAAAATGTACTGCTTATTTTCAGCGCGAGTTCTGATTGGCTTCTGCTTTTCTAGCACGAGTTCTGATTGGCTTCTGCTTTTTTGCTTTCTGCTTTTCTGCCAAGGTGTAAATCCGGCCTTACTCTTCCTTCATGGCAGCGCAGCAATTCTGTAAAATCACCAAACACTGCTAGTTAGTTACTAAACTGCTGTTGCTTTTCACTGCCCATGAAATGTTACCTTAAGGCCGGATTCACACCTTGGCAGAAAAGCAGAAAATTCTCCTCATACTTAATCGTGATTGGTCAATTTCTTAAGGCTTAGAGCTTAAATCACTATTGTAGACCGGCACTAATACGGGAGAAGCGAATCCGTAATTCACGGCTATCCGCGAGAGGTCTCCATCGTCTCTCCTGCCGACCCTTAAGGTGCCATTACATGGCAGCATCGAGCATCGATCGTCTGCGCAGAAATCATTGCGCAGGAATCTAAATGAGATAGATTCCAGCTTCTTGCGGCTAATAGCATGATGAGTGATATGAATTCGGTCGAGATAAAAAAATTATGTTCTGATACACATTACTAATACTGAAAATTGATATTTATTTACATTATACACAATAGATATTATTATTATTAAACAAAATATATATAAAACGTTACTATCCCCCAGCAGAATATTAGAATCTAATCAAGGATTAAGAGATATAATTTTCATATTTTTTCCTGCATGTTTATAACATACTGCTCCTTTAAATCATTTCCTACTTTTAACAATAGTTTTTCAAACTGTATCGTTTTGTCATTTGTGAATTCCTTTTTGTGTCTTATTTATTTGAATATTTCAACCATCAAAAATCTCTTGCCGCATTCGTATTTTAATTTAATTTTAATTTACATTGCCAGAGTAGTAACGTTTCATAATATATCTTTGAATTATAATAATAATAACACACACACACTCACACACACATCTGTTATATAATAAAATTAATGAAATATAATTCTGGGCAACAATATTCTGCGCAGACGCTTAACGCTCGACGCTTAACGCTTGACGCTGCCATGTAAAGACACCTTTAAGCAACCACAAAGAAGAAAAAAAAGAATAAGAATGTTTGCGTTCGCAGCGCTATTAGCGCGCTGCCAGCTATAGTGCACGTGACGTAAACTATAGATTTTCAGTACTGAGAGCGCTGTGAGTGCATTTCGGACCGCAGCCTATGTCTATGAGGCAAACGCTCGGTCTAGATATACTATGTCTATGGTTTGAAATATGTAAATATATATACGCTTTGGTCGAGTACTGTCGTGTTCAAATACGTTACGCGTGTGTCTTTTGGACCTTATTTTTGAATTCTATTCTCCTCTTCTAAAGAGGAATTCTTTCTGTAGCATCCTATCAGTAACTTTCATCTAAATAAAATTTCTGATACTAACCCACAACTTGATCTCTACAACATTAACGCTATTTATATTCATCGACTTGGCCGTGTGGGCCTGTATATTTCAGGCCCGGTGCCATTCACAAGAAGAAGAAGTAAATATATATACGGAGACAAATGGAAGTAAACGAGACAAACTTTTTATCTTAAAACAATTTTACAATGATAAACAACAAAAAAATAATGGCATCCATCTTGGAGAATATTGAGGAGAAAGGACAAGAGGGTCCGATCAGATGCATATTCTTTGCCGAATTTCATCACATAGCGGGACCTAAAATTACATGTCAGGTGAAGAGAGCATGCGTTATAAAATGTAAATAATTAATAATTTCTCTTTGTATTTAATGTTGACATGAATTATATTATTTCTTGCAGGTACCTGATAATTTTATATCCAAGGACATTTTTGACAATGTCAGTGTTTACATTATACCCAAAGCACAATTACAAAGAAGCACCATTACAATGTAAGTTTAAGAAATTAAGGTTGTAAAAATCAATCCTGGAAAAAATTTGTTAATCTTTTAATAACATTTAAAAGTTTTCCTTTTTTTACAGCACATTAAAGGACTATAAAATTTTAGGATTTCCTGTAAAGATTGACGATAAGAAATATGCAAGAAATGCGTTTTATTTCAACTTGTGTTTTGTTTGTGATGCAAACGCTCGCACTGTTCATTACGAACCGGTAGTTAAGAAAATGTCAGATTTTTTGGTAATAAATTTTTTAATAAAGTTTTCATGCTTTTTTTAATATATTTGAGAAATACAGTAATTTATGTATTATAAATTTTGTATGATCAGATAGCTTTGGAAATAGAAAATTGCTTTTTATCTGCCTCTGATGATAAAACCAGATTAGCAGAAATGCTCGCTCAAGTCATGCAGGATTTAAATCTGCACAAAATGTGTACATTGACTGGTAAAATTTATATATTACTTTGATAGAAAATACTTTGCTATGATACATTTCATATATGTAACATTTTGACAGAAGGAACAATGACATCTCATTTGAAAGTAGTGAAATTAGCACCTGAGCCCAAGCCAGTTCTCGATCATCAAGTACCAATATTCTTGGAGGGTAGAGAGACATTTCAGAGCGATCAATGGGATCTGACTACACAGCAAGTGTTACCTTATATCGATGGTTTTAATCATGTGGCGCGTATAGCAGCTGCAGCCGATGTAGAAAATAATTTAGTTAAAAGCTGTGTACAAAATCTTGTGTAAGAGATATTCAAAGATTGCAGTTTTACGAATAGTTGTTCCAAAAGACATGTTCGAATTTTTGTAGATATTATGGAGTTGTGACTCTGATTCCAATATTTCAATATAGTAATGTTTATGCTGTAACTCCGAAATTAAGGCAATTGGGAGATGATATGAAATTACAGAATAGATGTATAGCATATGCTTCTAAATTATGTGAGCAATGTCTTATAACATTATTACAATGTTATTTCAAATTTGTAATAAAATTCACAGATTGCTTTTTCTTACCTAGCTAGGCAACCTGCATATTTTAGGGATATACACCATATATACTCAAGTATGACTTATGGCATTACCATGAAGGACTTGTGCCAACGTCTTAATCCACAAAACTTGAGAATAAATGAGAGAAGACTGATACAATTTGGTTTGATGGAGGGGCTTATTAGGAGAGTATATAATGTGAGTTACTTCTTACGTGCATATGTGTATAGTTGAGTATAGTGATACATGAATTACATTTTGTTTTATAGTATCCTGTACTCCTTCCCGGTGCATCTTGCAGCGAAGAAGCAAAAAACAATCCAATCTATAAGTATTTTACAGGCACATATAGCCTCGATGAGATATGCTGTAGCACAGGTCAGTCAACCGCACAAATCGAAGATATTATTGAACGCGATCCGAACGTACTAATGATATGGAAGTGATGTTATAGAATGAAAGCTAAAAATAAAAAATAAGCGATGCCCACAAACGTATATCGTCGATTACAAAGAGGCTGTAATATTTCCTTAAGTGATTCTCAGAATATACATCTGATAAGAGAATTTGTTTCCTAGTTGTTTCTAGAAAATAAATTCTTTTATCAGACATCAAGGGACCACTAAAAAAAGTATGTTAATTATTTTGACACCAACTATATATATTCATGTAAACAATTTTGTATTAGCACAAATCTACCATTCTCTCGATAAGGATTTTTAAATATAATTTGTGTTTCTTGCATAACACCATATTTATACATAGTTTTGTATATATGCATATATGTGTACAATAAAATCAAAAGGATATGTGATCTTTGCCATCTTTAAAACTAGACTTAAAAGTTTTCATATTTGTTTTCATAAGTTTGATGGAATAATTCATTAAATACTTTCGATCATTCGTTTTACTTCATTAATGTAAATATCTGGTACTTTGTTTTCTCTCATTTTCTGGCATTTTCGTTCCATTGCGTCTTGCAATTTCTTCTTGCGTATCGCAGTCTCTGCGCGGATGGTTAGGCCTTCTGCAAACATCTTTTGTCGTTCAGCGATACGTTCTCGTTCCTTCTCATTTACCTGTCCAGTGAGACAAATTGATAATACATATTTGTTATATATGTATATTGCTGCATATTAATATACAAAAATTTTGTTGCAAATGCGTAAAAATAATTAATGCGAACCTGCTTTAATATTTCGTTGCGATGGATTAAAATCTGTTGTTGTTTCTGTTCGAGTTCCTTCTTTTCTTTGCAAAAAGCTGCTCGTTGCACGCGTACGATCTTCTCGAATTCCCGCCTATCTCGTTCGATCTCGGTAGCTTGCATTACTCTCTTATTATTTATTTGTTCCTCTCTATCTTTCTGAAGAGTCCTCTGAGCTTCCAGTTTCTTTAACGCTTCTTCCTTCTCCCTTTGTCTCCATTCCCGTTCTACTTCTTCCTGAACTCGAGCCGCGTTGATTTCGTCAATTCGCGCCTGGAAATTTATTGCCATTATTTGCCTCTAATCGAAGTTATTATCTATATAACTTATACTTTTTATTAAATATCATATATGTATATGTATTTTAAAATATTAATTAAGAGCAAAATGATGTAACATACAAGCGTTATCAGAAATAACAAAGAAATATTTTATAAAAAAAAGGTTTAATATATATTTCATTTTTTTAATAACATACATTAATCTTCTAGTACGATAACATATAATACTTACCCAGATAGCCAAGTCTGTCGAAAGCAAATCATGCCAAGTGCCTGCTATCAATTATTGTTATCAAAAAGGATACAAATTTGGTACAGAAGTTGTTATTTCAGATTAAATCGACAGATTGGTGCCAAAAACAAAGCAGAGTATGCTCACAGAATCTGATAGCAGAAAACCAGCAAGATTTGCTAACATGGCTTGACGTCAGATTGGTTGCAAAAACCGAGCAAGGTCTGCGCGCGCGCAATCTGATGGCAAATTGCAAGCAGAAACCGAGCAGAATTTGCACATTTTAGCCATTTATATAATTTATTGAAATAGTATAGTTTATTCGCTTACCGCTATGCGGCGCGCTATTTACTTTCTATACCCGGGCAGATCATTAGCCTAATGCGGACATAACAGATGCCAAATTGCTAGCAAGAGCTGAGGAAATCTGTTGCCAATCTGCTGGCATATTGCGTGAATTTTGCTTACTGGGTAATTTCGTTAAATAGAAATAATCACATGTGAGATGAAAAAGTACTTTGAAACGAAGTTTCAAAAAGAAAGAAAGCATCCCAGTAAGCAATTTGATAACAAATTGTTGCCAAATTGGCATCAAATTCGCTCAAAACTTGGTAACAAATCCAGTGCCATCTGTGTCCGCATTAAGCTTGTGTTTTGGTGACAAAGCTTGCTGACATAACCTGACAGCAAATTGACGGCAAAAGCCGAGCAAAGCTTGACATGATTTGACGTCAAATTGGTGGCAAAAATCGAGCAAGATCTGCGCAAGACAATCTGACAGTAGATTGTCAGCAAATACCGAACAAATTCTGCAGCTTTTGGCCATTCATATAACATTAATATATGATTTTATATAACAATACTGTAATTTGTCTTATGTTTGCCATCAAAAGAACGTCAGAAAATGTTCTCCCGTAGATGTGATATATTTTAGGTCTCATGAGATCTAACTTAGGATGTCTAATTATCTAATGGTTATTTTATGACCAAAACTTATCATTATTTTGTTACTTAGGGTTGAGACTTTAAATCCATTTAAATAAATACGGGTATAGATAATGAATAACGCGCCGCATAGCGATAAGCGACTGAACTATTTTATAATACTTTGTAATAAGCTGCAGATTCTGTTCGGTTTTTGCTGCCAATTTGCCATCAGATTGCGCACTTCAGACCTTGTTCAGTTTTTGCTGACAATCTGATGTCAGTCATGTCAGCAAGCTTTGCTCGGTTTCTGCCGCCAATTTGTTGTCTAGTTATGTTAGCAAGCTTTGTTTGGTTTTTGCCGGCAATCTGCCAGCTTAATCGGTAATAACAACTCTTGTACCAAATTTGTAGCCTTTTTGCTGACAATAATTTGTAGCAAGCACTTGGCAATATCTGTTAGAACAGACGTGGCTGACTGGGATTGTATCGTAGATAGTGAGGTCTGACGTGGCCCTCATTGACCCTTGACAACAAGTAATTGAAATACAAGAATGTATATGAAGATAATTATAAAAGTATATAGAACGATATATATGCAATGCGATGATGATGTATCGCACAAACTATTACGGGAAAAATTCATGATTTCGCACTATGCACTTTAGTATAGCGTGATACGCACACGTCTGAAGAACTTTTAGATATCACTCATCATGTCGTCGAAAATACCGCAAACTTTTTAAATTGGATATTTAATACCTGGAATTCATGCGCTTGCATCGTTTGCGTCGCCACTCTGGCTTTTTCTCGTTCCTTTCTTAATTTTTCCAATCTCTGTTCCTCCACCTTTTTAGCCTCTCGTTCCCCCTTTAGTCGATAATAATTTTGTATCCTGAAAAATAACATATCTTTTCATAATGAAAAGGAAAGTGATTAAAAGAATATTTTTAAAACGTCTCTAAATATATATAATTAACAGGGTTGGGTAAATTAATTTTTTTAAAACTAACAATAAGTTAAGTTTAAAGTTAATGGCTCAAAAATTAACTAAGTTTACGTTAAAAGTTATTTAAATAAAAATTAACTCAGTTAAAATTAAGTTAAAAAATTATTAACTTATTAAAAAGTTAAAAGTTAATTATGCAAAACTGTTTTTTATATAATTAATCTTTTAATTGTACATTTTAAATTAAACTTTTTAAATTTAGGTAATATAATAAAAAGATAGTTTTTTTGTAAGACAGATCATGTTTTCTTATATAATAATTAATAATACACATTATTTAAATATAGTTGTGTACTATAGTTGTGTAATAGAGATATTATAGTATTTAAAAACAAAACGGTTAATATAGGGACTTTGGTTAAGAGGACTTTCCTGTTTAATTTGAACCGCCCTACCTGCACACGTGCGTTTTATCTTTACCTTTAATTGTTAGATACTCTAACAATAAATTAAAACAATTTAAAAATATTTATTGAATTTTAATAAAAGTATCATCTTAAAATTATGATCCGCCATCTTTCCTTTTAAGTCATTATATACTAAACCACCTGCACTAAACATACGCTCTACGTGCGCCGATGATAATACCGTTGTGTTGTATTTTATAAATGCATGTTTTGATGGTACTGGATACTATATCTTATGTTATAATTATTAGTAAATAGATAATTTTCGACTATCAAAGATACAAAATTTTAATTTGTATAAAAAAAGTTAATAAGTTAACGTTCATGTATTTAAAAGTAACTTAGTTTAAGTTAAAAGTTAACATGTTTAAAACTAACGTTTAAATTAAGTTAAAAGTTATTAACTTTTCAACTTTTTAACTTAACTTTTAACTTTCTAACTATATAGTTATTACCTAACCTAACCGTAATAATTCCAAAATTTTAAATTTTTTAAAGTACACTTTTATATTAAATTTAAAAGTTCCCTAACAGCACATATGTCCAGAGGACATCCAGAGACCATCCAGAGATTATCCAGAGGATGTTTAATATCCTCTGGATGTCCTCTGGGTATTCTCCGGATGACCTCCGGAGAAGGTGTGTTGTTAGGGTTAATATCCCAGATTTAATTAAAATTAATTTTAATATGAATAAAAGTATACCTTATGTCTATAATTTTATTCTCCTCTTGTTCCATAGTCTTAAAATGTTTCAATTGTTTGTTTCCCTCCGCAAGTTCCTGTCGCACTTTAATGTTCTCGGCCTCTTTGTCGCGCAGCTTCTCGATCTCGTCTTGTTGCCATGCGATATTATTTAAATTGATGAGCCGGCTTTCCTCCTGCTTCCTCTCAAACTCGAGGATTCGTTGCTCCTCGTTTTCCACGATTTGCTCCTTCAGAAACTTTGCGAATTGCAGCCTCTTGGCCGTCTCCTCCTGCTCTTTCCGCAATTCTTCCTTGATCGCCCATCTCCTCTCATTTTCCATCATATCGTTCAGCCGTTTCTCTTCTTCGTGAAGCTCTCGTTCTATCAGCTTTCTTTCCGCAATCTACAAACGGATAGCTAAATGTACGAAAATTTTAGATATTACCCAGATAGCAAAATGCTAGCAGTATGCTAGCAGTATGCCAGCAAATTAAATCATGACTTTGTAGCAGATTCCCCTCTGCTGCGTCCCCATTAAACTTAATTTCTGGCTTGCCGATATAACATAACAGAGAAAATGAAGCAAAAATCGAGTATTATTTGTTATTATGTTGTGACAGCAGATATATAGCAAATATCAAGCGAAGTCTGCCATATCAGATCTGACGGCAGAAATGTGGCAGAAATCAAGTATTGCCTGCCGTTACAACGTGACGGCAGAAACGCAGCAAAAATCGAGCATAGCCTGCTGTCACAATGTGACGACGAAAACACAGTAAAGATAAAACATGCCTGAAAAGCATAATTACTAATATAGATGCAATAAAAGCTAAATATTGGCATAGTTATAAATATTTAATTAAATATATAATTTTAAATAAGTGATTAATTTATTAAGATTTCAAGGTTTGTATGGAAATTGCACTCTTATTTTGTTTCAAGTAGTCAATAAATGGAAAATTTTCTATTGATCCCCGGTTTCCAAACTTTCAGTTTAATATTCTGAATCCTTTGTTAGAATTCAGAAATTAAACTGATAAAAATAGATATTATGGCTCCTGCATACAGGACACAGGACGCGGCAATATTTGCCGCGTCGCCGCGTCCTGTGTGCAGGAGACATTTTACATTTTTAATCTTGTTAGCCGCACTTTGCAATCTTTATATTTGCCTGCAACAGGAACTTGAATACGAGATAGATACGTCATATAGCGGTATACGAAAGAACTATAACTTAATATAACATATCTTAAGATTACTATGATTCTGTCATTATTTTATGACAACAGATCATGCTGTGTTTCTGCGGTGTTTTTGCTGTTATCTTTTGAGATGGCAGCGCATGCTTAATTTTTGCAGCATTTCTGCCATTACGCCGTGCTTGCAGATGAACTCGATTTCTGATGATATTCTGTCGACGTAGCATGATGTGTCATGTTATGTTCAATTTTTATTTAATTTCTGTTGATATATTGTGTCAATATGTAAAGCTTAAAATCTACTGTTTTTATGTTAAGAACTTCTGCTTAAATTTTGCAGCACTTTTTGTAGTATATCATGACGCGGAGATTGTTTGTTTCCTGCTGCATTTCTGCCGACATTAATTAAGACGGCAAACTATGCTCAATTGCTGCCGGAGTTCTGTCAACATAATATGTAGTGCACAATTTGCAATACGTGATCTTGCAAACTTGGCTATCTGGGTTAAGAAGAGATATTATCATCATATGTTTGAAATTGATCATAGTGTCGACGAATTTACTTGGGCATCGCGAATAGCTCGGCATTTGCTTTCTAGGATAAGCTGATTGCACTTTTGTATCTCCTTCTTTTGCTCCATACGCATGTTGTATGCACGCTCGAGGACGTGCATCGTTCGTCTTCTCGCCTCCTCCTCGATTTCCCTCGTTTTCGGATCTTTCTCACGATCCTTCTTTATGTCCATCCTGCGGATCGTTTCTTTGCGCTCGATACTTTCTTTCGTCAATCTCTCCTTCTCCTTCTCCGCGGCTTTCGCGGCCGCTAATCTTTCTTCCTTTGTGATCACGCGACTGCGTTCCTTCAGGTCTTCATACTCTTTCTTGGTCATGATCTTCGGATAGATCGTAGACATCTTCGAAGGAATCAGATACTTTCTCGTACCGTTTTTATCCCTTATCTTTCCAACCTGTCAGGTTTAATCAATTATTTAATAGCGCATGTAAAGATGTAAATAGAAAAAAATAAATGTTTTTTTATAAAATACAAATTTTTCGTGAAGAAAACAACAAACTTTGTTTTTTTAAGGTATGTAATTAACATCTTTAAATTTTGATTATTGCAAATTAATTTTTTTATTATATTTGATTTTTTAACATGATAGATTTGAACTACCACTATTTTAAATGTAGATCACGATCAAGATTCAAATTGGCTATATAATTATGTAATTACTGTTTTTAATTAGGTAAATTTTTCAAAAAAAATCAACAATTGGACACAACTGAATTGTATCTATTATAGATACAAAAACACACCTAATTTTTGTAATTTGAAAAGATATACTTTACTTACTATTATAATACAATTAAAAAAAATTAAAGTTCTTATATTTTTAATTTATCTTTTTTCGAAAGTATTTTTAATGGATTAATGAGATTTTTGTGGCCAAACACATAATGACATAATTCAAATAATTTTCAGTTAGATGCATAATAAAAATTTTTGTTATGCATCTAACTTTAAATTATCCGTATCATATCGTGTTCGATGTAATTTGACGCAAAAGCCTCCATTAATCCATTAAAATTACTTTCAAAACAATATAAATTCAAAATATAAGAACTTTAATTTTTTTTATTATATTAATAAAAAGTATGAAGAAAAAAATATTATATTAAAAAAAAGTAATGAAAAAAACCAAATTTGTTTTTTTTTTAATGAAAAAGAAAACATGTTTCCTTTCACACGTTTTTTTATATCTCTAAGCTACAATTTTAATTTATGCACAACTTGACTTTAATAAGAATATGTAATATATATATACAGGGTGTCCCACCAAAAGTGGATACCCCCTTTTATCTTTTAAACTAAAAGAGATAGACCGTAACAAATATATATCAAATTAAATGGTTCAAACTGAACTCTATTGTAAGCATAGTGGTTGCTTCCAAAAGCAATCTGTGTTAACGAACGGAGAAGTATGCATAATTTTTTTACAATAATGTGAATTTTTCGACAC